TTTTCTTTATTCGATTGAATTCCTTTTTCAGTATTCGACTGTGTCGAAGGTTTTCAAAGCATAGCACATACTGAGAGATTGAAAGGTGAAATGAATATGGGCACTATAGAGGATATGACTATATGGTGACCTTACGGGAATCCGGACAAAAAACGAGTAAGCGATGGAAATACAGTGGATACCAGAATCTTTGAATTCGATGTTCCCATTGGAAAGCATCCGGTACAACTGACCATTTAGTTACCATATGAAGTCTCTAAAATTGATCTTTCAAGTGTAGAACAATGTAGTTTTTAAGAACGAAGCATGATTCTATGAAATGCCGTCTAATCGACTTGTTTTTTAATTACGATTGGTTTCTCCATAAATCGTTCTCTTTTTTTGACAAAGGATTGCATTTTCTAAGTGTAGAATATGTCCTTTAGGAATAGCACATGAATATTTCAACGAACTATTTGAATCTAGTCACTGTGATGCTAATTCTTTATTTCAAACATAATCATCAATTAATCGCGAGTTTTATTGTAACTGGCTGCTTGATAATAACATACACGAACTAAAGCTTACTTATGATAATTCATCTATAATGCGCTGTTCAGTCTTGTGTTCTACTGTTGCCGATTGCTGGAGAACAAAATAATTGAATACGACTTTAATAAGAACAATTCATTTCCCATGCGTTGTTCAATCCTCTGTTTCACTTTCACCGATGCCTGGAGAGTAAAATAATCAAATGAGACCTTGCTTAGGATAATTGATCTGCCATGCATTGTTTAGTCTTCTTTTCTACTTTCATCGATTGCTGGAGAGTAAAATAATTGAATACGAGCTTGGTTACGATAATTCATCTGCAATGCGCTGTTCAGTCTTCTGTTCTACTGTTGCCGATTGCTGGAGAGTAAAATAATTCAATACGACCTTTTTAAGAACAATTCATTTGCCATGCATTGTTCAATCCTCTGTTCCACTTTTATCGATTCCTGGAGAGTAAAATAACTGAATACGAGTTTGCTTAGAATAATTCATCTGCCATACACTGTTCAGCCTTCTGTTCTATTGTTATCGATTGCTGGAGAACAACACAATTGAATACGTGTTTAGTTAGGATGATTCATCTGCAATGCGTTGTTCAGTCTTCCGTTCTACTGTCGCCGATTGATGGAGAGTAAAATCATTGAATACGATCTTACTTAGCATAATTCATCTGTCATACACTGTTCAATCATCTGTTCTACTGTTATCGATTACTGGAGAGTGAAATAATTGAGTACGAGCTTTATAAGGATAATTCATGTGCCATGCATGATTCAGTTTTCTGTTTTACTTTCCTCAATTGCTGAAGAGCAATATAATTGAGTACGATCTTATTAATAGTAATTCATTTGCCATGCATTGTTTACTCTTCTGTGGTACTTCCACCGATTGCTGGAGAGTAAAATCATTGAATACGATCTTACTGAGCATAATTCATCTTCCACGCGCTGTTCAGTCTTCTGTTCTATTGTCGCCGATTGCTGAAGAGTAAAATAATTCAATACGGCCTTGATCAGGATAATTCATCCTCCACGCGCTGTTCAGTCTTCTGTTCTATTGTCACCGATTGTTGGGGAGTAAAATAATTGAATACGATCTTACTGAGCATAATTCATCTTCCACGCGCTGTTCAGTCTTCTGTTCTATTGTCGCCGATTGCTGAAGAGTAAAATAATTCAATACGACCTTAATAAGGATAATTCATCTTCCACGCGCTGTTCAGTCTTCTGTTCTATTATCGTCGATTGCTGAAGAGTAAAATAATTGAATACGACCTTACTTAGGATAATTCATCGGTAATGCATTGTTCAATCTTCTGCTGTACTTTTCTGGATAGCTGAAAAGCAAAATAATTGAATGCGACTTTTTTAAGGATAATTCATTTGACATGCATTGCTCAATCTTCTGTTGTACCTCCATCGATTGCTGGAGAATAAAATAATTGAATACTACTTTCCTTAGGATAATTCGGTTGTCATGCATTGTTTAATCTTCTGGTCTACTTCCATCAATTGTTGGAGAATAAAACAATTGAATACGACTATTTTTAAGATAATTCACCTGTTATGCATTTTTCAATCTTCTGTTTTACTTTCATCGTTTGCTGGAGAGTAAGATAATCGAATACGAGTATGATTAGGATAATTCATCTGCCATGCATTGTTTAGTCTTCTTTTCTACTTTCATCGATTGTTGGAGAATAAAATAATTGAATACGACCTTCATTAGGATGATTCATCGGTTGTACATTGCTAAATCTTTTGTTTTACTTTCATCAGCTGTTGGAGAATAAGATAATTGAATACGATCTTGTTTGAAATAATTCATCTGCCACGCATTGTTCAGTCTTCTTTTCTACTGTTATCGACAATTGAAGAATAAAATGATTGAATACGACCCTATTTAGAATAATTCATCTGCGATGCATTGTTTAATGTTCTGCTCGACTCTCGTCTATATCCAGGGAGTATAATCGCTGGATAAGGCGTTACTTAGAATGATTCACTCGTAGTGTAATACTATGTCACGATGTTCGTAGGTCATTTTGAACTTAGACATGCCGGAAAACGAATAGATGGTTTGTGCTTGATATGTGTCTGTTTTGTGTAGAGTTTGAACGTGGAGTGTTTTATTATATTTGTGATGGAATCAGAATTATATATCGGCACAGAAATCTAATAATTTGACTGATTCGCTGCTGAAGTGATATTCGATAGCATGAGCCAGGACGTACTTTGCTTCGGAATGTTTGATATTATTGAACACAGCTATCGTTCAAATGATTCATCCACTATGTGACCTAGCTCTACCTGATGCGCTTTTACATTGCATTCTCGATTAGTTACTTGGTAGAACAAAGTCCTAATTAAGACTAGTCACTTCTGGCGTATTAATTATTCGATGAGTAAATGATAGACTCAGCTTTATGCGCGAAGAAGCTTTTACGAATAGATATTTTATGAAAAATGTTCAATTTATAGATGAGATGTTTTTTTTGAGTAGCCGACAACCATCATGTACAAATGCTTCACATACGTGAATAGAATTATTATTAAGTTGGTTCATTTTTGAGAGGATTTGTTTTCTCATAATAACGACGTCAGTTTTGCCTCGCAGTTGATGATATTCATGAGAGGAAAGATTGTTGCTGATGCTCGCTTACCATGAGATTGGTAATTAGGTCATAAACTTTATTTTTAATTTTAAGTATTGAATATGTATTGAACAGATTACTTGTTAAGAACATTCAATTTCTGGGTTATATTCAATCGCATAATACTTGCAAAGTTTTACTTCAAGGTAAGTATCAAATTCGAACACAAATTTTGTTTTACCCATTCATACAATATACGATTAATGATGTAGTGTCGGGCCAAAGATTGATAATTACGTTCAAAACGAAAGTGAACATATTTCCTGCCACCGCCAGGTAAGAAACTGGTTATGGATGTGATTAAAAAGAAGCAATATACTCCCACATTTCCATCCAAATACATATAGCGAACAAAAACACAATAAGAGATAAAGACGATGATTAATTAGTCCAATGATAGTGATAGTTAAAAAAAATGAGTGAAGCACACTTCTTCTTGGCACCAAGAACACCTCATCATCGGCCCATCAATATAGCTTTTTCATGAAATTTATCTGTTTAAAATGTGAAACAAATATCTTTCGTATACCTATCCAGGTCGAAAAATACTGGCTGTTTCCTGCCGGAAAACTCAGGAGATGAATAGGAACTTCGAAGCAGGAAGACGATGAGCGAATCCGGTGGCCAGTTCCCGTCGTTTCCGGTCGAAACTGGAAAAACTACGACTCTGGATCGCGCCATCGGATTTATGCTTCAAAATCCCGAGTGATTTCCCGGGATTTTCGGCGGGAAACGGTGTACTTTCCTGCGGATTCTCGCTGGAGTCATTGTCCGGAGAGTAACACCCACATCTCTGATTCCGGAGCCTGGAAAGGAAAGAAACCCATTAAAAAAGGTCGAAAATATTCCGTGATCACGGAAGCAGTGTTTGGGTCGAAAAATTGCCGCATCGGAAATGGAATTTCCCAGATAATTTCTGTTATCCGAATCACATACTAACCACAAGTATCCGAACGGAATAACACAGGACTACCACAATTTGCCCTTAAAATTCCACCGGAATCATGCCGTATTATACCGGTGACGGGATAAGCATCACACCGTTTCTGTCGAAACCCTAACAGTATTTTTCCAACAGATCAGTCTCTAGTATTCTCGGAAATGCATTTCAGATTCATTATCAGTAAAAAGAAAGATCTTTAAAGACTTTCGTCTTCAAAAGCAACTGTTGAAGTTCTTGAAATAGCTTAAAAATAAGGTACGAGTCTCGAAAAGATCTCTTCAATGCCTTATTATAAACTTCAAGGCTATTGAAGTATTCTAGAAAACTACTTTCGAGGGTGCGAGTGTTAGTGTAGATCTTTCATTTACATTGACACCGACACGTACACTCAAACTCACGCACCCACCCACTACTCACACATCCACACTCCACCAACATCCTAATCTAATTATCTTGATTTCTGAATGTGTTATAAAGGACACGCGAATACCTTCTTTCAGACACTAGTTTTGTTCTAAATCTTACTGCCATCATTAGAATTATTTTCTCTTACTTGCAATATCATGCGAGTAAAGCTTCATGGAATTGAATTGTCGGCTGGAAAAAAAAATATTTCTACTACTTAAAATATAACAAATTCTCTCGAAAAACTCGAATAAAGATGTGTGAATCAAATCAAAGACTATCGAAATCTAAGACAGACAAAAGAAGTTTCTATTTACTTCGATTTCACTATATTAGCCTTGAGACAAGTAAGGCACATTTTCAAGCAGAATGTGGATGTGGGTGTCCGTGTGCATGTGGATATAGATTTTGTCGTCACCCTCATTAGCAGCGGCCCACACCCTATAATCACACTTCAAAGTAAATATGCTTCTGGTTTTTATTATTTACATTATAACTGTCGAACCAGATTTTTCTCCAACATATTATTATCGTTTTACAACACAATGGCAAGGTGATGGTAAATCTCTTGGTGTTGTTAATGATGGTATAAATAATAATCAACTTATACTTGCTACAAGTGGTTATTATAGTGGACAATATTGGAAGATCACTTCACTCAGTAATGGATATTTTCGCTTGACAACACTATGGCAAGGTGATGGTAAATCTCTTGGTGTTCGTCTTGATGGTATAAATAATGATCAACTTCTACTTTATCCAACTAATGATTATGCTGAACAGTATTGGAAGTTTATTTCAATCGGTA